GCACAATGTGCATCCAGCAGGTTTAAGTAATGATTTTCAAGCAGGTGCTGCACATAGAATATGTGATGACACAGTTGTGTTAATATACCAGTGCTTTAGCTTCGCGTGGCAATGGCGGGGACCAACATTTCCACGGTGGACATGTTGAACTATGTGAGGGCTGCTGCTGCAGTCACACCTCAGGAGATAGCACGCGAGCGCAAAGCACAGGAGATTTCCAGTGATCCACAGCCAGAAGCATCTCCTCCATTACCACCACCAGATCATCATCCAGATGATGAGGTGGAGGATGAGATTGGTCATGATGCTGAGGAATGGGAAGTGGTGAAATGGCACACACACATATATATATCAAAACAAGGTTGTAGATTCAGATGTGTCAGTATTCACGTGTAGACTCAGATGTTGTTGCTGATTGTATATGTTTTTGAAACTATTGATGAATATATTCTATCTGCAAGATTTAAATATATATATATATATATCGTCAACATCGGCAGGATGTACAAATTGACAACAAGAACATCGTTGCTTTCAAGAAGCATTTTCGTGTGCAAGTTCCGGGTCTTGATGGCAAAAGGAATTTCAACTTTGATGTGTATGGGTCAAGGAAGCTAGCTGCTCTAGCGGCAGCTGAGTTTGAACGATATGCCAAAGTGGTGTTGTATGACTTTGAGGAACTTGGTCGAAAGCCAAACCAACGTCGGGCTATGCTTGATGCACATGGGTGTGAGACCAAATACAACAGCAAACCTATTCGGGTTCAGCGATGTGCATTGTGCCATAACCTTGTAGCAGGCGATTCCACTGTGATGGAGAAAGAAATTGTTGATAGTGTATGGAAAAAGCATCACGATGAAGAGGTTTTGCAAAAGACGTCTGTTGCAATCTCAAAAGCTACATCAAAATTTGTGGTTGACTTCGCTGGTGCGAAGCAGCAGATCCAGCAATCGTTCAAGACGCTACAGCTTGCAGCGGATTGGGCAGTGGGCATGAATGCTGCAGAGAAGGACTCACGGGCTGGGATGCGAAATCGGACTCACGGGTTGGGATGCGAATCGGGTGGTATATATACATATATATTAGGTGATATGATGTATATATATATGTGTATGTATATGTCTATATGTTATCATGTATATATATATGTATTTAGTTGCAGCTTTTGCAGATAGAATATGGAGCAATGATGTTTTATTGTATATATACATATCAGTAGGTGTGCAGACAACTTGTCCGACCAACTTGTCCTTTCACTCAGTGGCTCAAGCTATCTTTAAAACAAACTACAACTCAAGGACCACAAGAAAAACCACCATGTATCACATATACTGTAACCATACACACATATTTACATATGTATTGGCCACTGCGAATGCATCCATGGCGAGCCATTGCAATCTCAGCTCCGTTGGTCTAGACGATATCCAAACAAAATGCTTGAACAGATTGTTGAGAGAGGCAAACCTCCTTCCAGATGAATCGAAGTCTGATTTGGATCGAATGGTTGAAGCTAATGTGAAAGCTGCTGACAAACCACTGGAAGACCCTGGATCTTTGCCTACTTTATCAGATCGGCTATGGAATGGAGAATTGGAAGACCCTGGAGCTTTGCCTACTTTATCAGATCGGCTATGGAATGGAGAATTGGAAGGTGAACCTTATGTTGATCAACTGGGTGCAGACACACAGCATACAAGTGGCACGGCAATGGCATCAACAAGCAAGCCATCTCAGTGTGCACTTGGTAGGGAGCAAGGGGTCAAGCAAACAAAGGTACACTTCTCGATTTGTCGCTGTCCCACAGCGAAGCGCGCGACCATCAAACGGCCCTTTCTACCTTCTCGCTGAAAGTCTTGTGCCCACCCGACTTCGTCGGCGATCGATCAACCACTTGTGGCCTCGGTGACCTCAAAAGGCTCATGCCTACTCCTGAACATGTGTGGAACCTCCAGAGGTATCCCAGTACTCGCATCACCCATACTCCTGAGATCTTTTGGGGTTGGTTCCCAAGGCCACTTGTGGATCTCAGCCATCCTTTCGATGGCAGACAGGAAGTAATCCTGCTGTTCCTTCATGAGGCGCTCAAGCTCCTTCTTTCGGACTTTGCGTCCTGCTTCAAATTTGGGATCATGGATGACAGTCCATCGCTGTCCATTCGCGAAAAACTGAAGCAAAACCTTCCTCGAATTCCACTTGGTGAGGCTGTCGCCTAACTGCACGCCGCCGTGAACCCATCTAAACTGAGTTCCAACCTGCAGTGCTTGGCACACTGAAATCGTGAGTTCATACCCCGATCTTGAAGACCTGAGGCCGTGGAGGCTTGAAACATTTCTCGCGGCGGCATCAAAAATGCCACGAGTGTCCATCACGACAGCTCCATGGGAGCACTCACGAACAACTGAATACAGGTTGTGGCGATCAAATGACTTTCCGTGCAACTCACACCAAAAACTTCGAGCACGGAAGACCAAATCTTCTGCCTCAGTCACACTTTGTACCTCGGCTCCGTTGGAGCCTAGCACCTGGCGAGGCGCTTTAGTGGATTTCCACTGAATGAGGGACACAGGAAACTCTACCCCGTTCAGTAGCTCATGTGGAGCCATGCCAACCACAACGCCCAAAGTGGAGCTCTGGTCAGGGCGGTTCTTCTGTGAGGCGTCAGCCCAAGCCACTGTTGCAATCTCCTGCCATGGGCGGTTCCAGTGAAAGAAGGTCAAACCCTGTTGAGCTTCTCGCATCATCTCTCTGGCCACCTTGTTGGCACGGATGAGGGTGTCAACCGTTGCATACGGCACTTCCGACAAAAGGAGGCCGCAATCAGCAAGGAACTGTGGAGAGGTTTGAGAGGCACGCCATGCCATTGTCCCAACACATCCACGAAGGGCTGATACCTCAGCGGCTGTTGCCTTGTCCTTCTTCAGCTGCATTCGTTCGGCTGTCAGCGGAATTTCTTCGATCCAGCGATCTGTGTACTCTTCTTGAGAGACTCGGATGGTCTTGTCGGCATAGGACTGGATCTGACAACCTGTGAAGGTGAAGGCATCCTCTTCCCACTTTCCCCACTTGTAGGCTTCGCCCAGCTGGCGAAAGGCATTCTGAAAAACATCACTGTCTTCTTGGCCTCCGACCAGTAGGTCATCTACGTGGGTTCCAATGACACTGACAATCGGCATCTCTTCTTGAGAGTGGTCTTTGAGGATAAACACGCATTGGTCGGCCTGGAGCCTCGTGTAGCCAATCTTCTGGAGAGTGCCAGCGAGGTGATCATACCAGGCCCTGGGTGCATTCACTAGGCCATAGAATGCACGCCGAATGCGAAGTGCCTTCACTGGAGCTTCAGGAGCAGCTCCAAATAACACAGCAAGCTCTGATGGCGCCCATACCGTCAGGTTCTGGTCCTCCATGTCCTGGTCCGCCTGAAGGAAGGCAGACGCGACGTCGCCGCCTCGGATTCGGAAGCCCAGGTTGGCGCACATAGTGAGAACCATGTTTCTGGAAAGGCGGGCCATAGTCGGAGATGAGCTCTGCACATTGACCAAGTTTGGTGCTTGGTATCCAAGCACGACCAAGCGAGCTTTAGAGTCTCCATTGGGTTTCACCGTAAGAACCCACCGCATACTCATCACGGTCTTGGGGTTCAGGTTCTTCTCTTCTTGCAATGTCAGGCTGCGAAGAGCTTTGGACTGCAAGACGTTGCTAAGCTCTTTGGCCTGTGCTGCATCAAAGGAAACCTTCTCATCCATCGTGAGCTTGCTCCATTCTTTCTCTTTTCCTTTTTCCATCACTTTCTTTGACAACCACACCTCAGCGCTGTTGGGGTGATTGCTCAGCCATTGCACCTCCTTGGGGGTGATGTCAATCTCGATGGAAAAGGCGGTGTCTTCATCCACCGTGAGGTACATGTTCTGTTCGCTCCTCTTGTCAGGAGGCTTCTTTCCTTTCCCCTTGATCACCTTGGTCGGTGGAGGCTTCTTCTTCTCCGGAATCATCTCTTCGGAGGAATCACTTGAACTTGAGCTGGAACTGGAGGAGGAATCATCATCTTCATCCATTGTGATGCCATCCCTTGAGTTCCAATGAAAGCGCTTGCCATGCTGGTTGATGTGAGGTCCATCATGGCCACCAGGAAGTGAGCATTCACGCACTGAACAGTGATTGCCGATCACTGTCTGCCCTCCACGTTCTTGAGGAGTCATAGCTTCATCAAGCTGAGCATTTGGACGTGGAGTTGATGGCATTCCTGCCGGAGTTGGCGGGATAGCCAAACCTTCAGCTGCTGGCGCTTCAGGTACAGGAGTCTTCTTGGGCACCTGTTCGAGGGATGGATCATCTTTTCCTTCTTCTTTCTGTCTCTTGGTTCCCCTCGATGTTGGTGCGGATGCGCTGGCGGTTGAAATCTCCAGCCAAGTTTCTCCTGTCCATCGCTCTTGTAGATGTCGGTGAGGTTCATCAGACTCACGAAAATCGTCCTCGAGGGTGATCTTGTTCGACCCAGGGACTG